GATGGATTGCCTGGACGTAGCGGATCATCCTGTCGCCGGTTATACACCGCCGGGTGTTCTGACTGAGCTGCATCTGCACTTGTGGGATTGCGTCATCGATTATAGGCCGCTTCATCTGCCGCTAAAATCCGTCGTGACCCTCGGTAATTTCAGCGTGTCGAGCAACATTACTGCGCAGACCAATACGTCAACGTTGCGCTTTATCGCGGAGGATGTCGCGCTCTTCATATCGGACAAGCTGCGCGAGAAGTCGGTGGATCTGAAACGGGATTACGTGTGCGTGATGAATTTCGGGCTGTTCGAGTTGTCGCTACGCTTGAACGAGAGGATGTACGGCGGTGTGCCGCGAGTCGATCTCCGGGCGAGCAACAACGTGCTGCATGTACGCACGTGCTCGGACTCGGGTCGCGCTCTCATGCAACTGCTGACTTACATCGCCAACGATGGCGATTTGCAGCAGCCGAACAGCGTGATAAACAGCAGCACCGAGAGTATTCCCACTGTGCCGCCGACATCCACGAGGTACGAGGAAAATCTTCTGGGCGTCGAGAGCATCAACACACTTAGTAGGAGTCAGGTCGAGCGAGTCTACAGTCTAATGGAGGACGCGCTGGAGGAGACTGTGAAGGGAACGACGACTCAGAGCGGCAACGAAACCGAGAAGATACCAATAACTGAAAATCGGGTTGAGTTCTTCTTTCCCGACGATTCCTGCGCCAGTACGCGAGAGGCAGATACGCGAAAGAGTCTGCACGAATGCAGTAAAGCGATCGCGTGCGGTGTGGAGGACGAGGACGACGACGATGACGAATTTTGTATCTTGGGAGAGGAAGCTGGTACAGGAATAATACCGCGCTATGGAGTACCTGAGGTTCGCTCGCTGTGCCAAGAACCATTAAGAATAGTGGATAATCACTTTTCCGTGCCGGTCGGCAAAACCGATCTATTGCAGACTCCACCGAATTATCCTGCACCTGTATTGAAATACACCCTTTGCGAGATGACACTGATATGGCATATGTACGGTGGCAATGATTTCGACAGTTCTCAGCCGCAGTCTGCAAAGCACGTAACCATCAATGACAATGTTCGCGGCAATATTACGCATGGAAGGTATGAAAATTTCAAGTTAAACCATTAAAGCAAATTTCTATATGTACAACTCTGCAAATATGGATAATATAGATATTCTTTCTCTTTTCTATCCGATAGAAGTAGATCGGCCATAGGTGCGGTAGGCTTCAAAAAGTCTAGTCCGAACGAAGTACACTTTGGCAGTGTGCCGAATTCACCGCGTGCAACGAGAAGCAACGAATCGTTGATCGATTGGCACACGCTAGGCGGCCCGGGTCGTCGGCACGACGTACTAATGGAACTGCAATTGAGCAAGGTTCGCTTCCAGCACGAGGTCTATCCGGAGAACACTCGGGAAGCGTCCAGGCAGGTGCTGTTGGTGCACGAGATTGAAGTAAGAGATAGACTGGCGTCGTCGCACATAAACAAATTCCTTTATCAATACAGCAGCGAAGCGAGGCCGAGGCAGTCTCACTCTATTATGTTTACCATGAAGGCAGTTCATGTAAGGCCGGATCCCAGATTAAGTGCCCAAGAATGTTGTTTGAAACTTAGTCTACTGCCACTGCGACTGAACATAGACCAAGATAGCCTACTGTTCTTAATACAATTTTTTAACGAACTAGGCGGTGGATCGAAGCGAAGCCAAGAAAGCTCTAGCACACCTAATAGCTCGCAATCCACCCCCGTATCGAAACAAGGAACACCCACGCATCATCCGCCCATTATGAGCGTGAATGATGATGCGTTGACGAATGACGCGATGACGAATATGTCGCAGAATAATATCATTGATCAGAATCTGTTGATACTTTTGGAAGACGAGCTGACGTTCAGGGAGAACAAGACTAAAACAAAGACTATCCACCAGGTCCACGACGACAGTCAACCGATATATTTTAGGTGGGCCAACGAAATTTTTTTACCCGATCGAATAGAACTAGTGCCACGTGTTGCAGTGTCGACTACTAACGATTAAATATTGTCTTCAGAAACATTGTATTCGGTCCGGAGGTTCTCATCAGGCTGGATTATCACGGGAAACGCGTGGACTTCACTCACGGACCGTTGGCGGGTCTGCTAATGGGCCTGGCGGAACTCAACTGTTCGGAATTAAGACTGAAGAGATTGACGTACAGGCACGGATTGCTGGGCTATGACAAACTGTTTACATATCTAGTTTCGGAATGGTTGCAGGATATCAAGAAGAATCAACTTCCAAGCTTACTCGGTGGCGTGGGCCCGATGTACTCCGTGGTGCAGCTGTGTGAGTACGCGACTCGATTCGTCCGGAAATTAAATGACTATCGCGATTTTTGGAACAGCCTCTTAAACCGCGTACATCTTCCGCGCTGTGTTGCAGTTCAAGGGATACGCGATCTGTTTTGGTTACCAATCGAGCAGTATCAGAAAGATGGGAGAATCGTCCGTGGATTGCAACGCGGAGCAAACAGTTTTACAACGTGCACCGCGATGGCTGCGTTAGAACTGACGTGCAGAATTGTGCAGGCGTTACAGACCACGGCCGAGACTGCCTACGACATAGTTAGCCCTGGTCCCAGTGTGAGATGCAAGAATAAGGGGCAGAAGGGTCGTCGAAAGAGATACAGTCAGCCGTTGGACATTCGAGAGGGGGTGGCTAACGCTTACACATTAGTCAAAGAGGTGAGTCTAACGCGCAACATATTGTATGACTTAATATCTTTGAGAAATAATAATTTTATTACAATTGTTCGCAACGTTCCGAATATTTTTTTCCTCTTTAACAAATACTACTCGACTACTTGAGGAATCTTACAAAATTCTTTACCGATTTGAACCCTTCTTGGTTTTCTTCGTGTGACACGTAGGTCCTTCACAGACGCCGAGCCGCGTCTGTGTTTTCAGTTCGATCTTTACCGGGGGGGGGGGGGGGCGGAGCCTCGAAAAGTGCACGCTTAATTTATCTCGACACAGTTTTCCGTCGGATTTTGCAACTACTGAATTTCTCGAATTTGCTCGAAACTCCTCTCGACAGACTCGCTACCTCCTGCCTTTTTTTTTCTCGTTTTCAAGAAAACAAGTCCCCGATCTCGAATATCGCTCATCTGTGATATCTACTTGTACAGGGTTTAGGCGAGACTGCGACACAACTGGTCCGCGTGGCCAGCGAGGAACACGAGCACAAGGGCACCGTCGGCGCGGTCGGCGGTGTACTGCGGCAAATCCCGCCGACGGTCGTGAAACCGATCATCCTGGCCACCGAGGCGACCAGCAACGTGTTGGGCGGCATGCGGTCGTCCCTAGTACCCGACGCACGTCGGGAGGCGGTGCAAAAGTGGCGGCAGGATTCCGACGCGTGTTAATCCGCGTCGGCACAGAATGGAGAAAATTGCTAAATCGTTATCGGATCGTCGTCAGTCAATTTCGCTCAAATAACACTTTTCGATCGCGGCCGGTGCGGCCGAGCCCACTTTTTATTGTAACATATTCATGACATATACACGTACGGAAAGAGAATGCTAAGTAGAATAAGTGTGCCATACGTACGCGTCACGTTTGGCGATATTGTGATTATAGCAGTTATTCTTCACTAGATCTGTGCGAATTATTGTCGTTCGATCTGTGCGATTAGGCCTGAAGGATCGGCAACGTGCGCGAGAAAGAACGACGGACCTAAGGATGCGGATCATTGACGAGAGATGCGAGATGTGAGATACGAGAGTCGCCGTTGGGTCCTAATTATAAGTGCTATATAATGTTAATGTAGTCAGACCCGTTCCGTTAATGTTTTTTTCTTTTCTTTTCTATTGTACATTACGAAAAGTGCAAGGTATCTGGCAGACATTTAACGACAAATTACTCGGTCAGGAGCTGCCGATAATTTCGTTAAAATTGTACAAAATACTTGTTACACTTGTAGAATGTAAAGATAGCTATGCTCTATCGCGAAGGAATATACTGCAACCCCGCTTCTATATTCCTTCTCACAATTATACATACATTATTTTGTTTCGATCATGTGAATGTTTTATACCAATGATATGTGTATTCGGCGATTTTATTAATAAAATTATACACAATAAACCAACGGGTGTTTTTTACCCCCCCCCCTTCCCCTCAATTTCCGCGACATAATTATTTTATTTTTATCGTTTTGCAGCCGCGACGACCGAGACCGAAGACGAGAGTCTTTTTAAGGGGATGCTGGAGTGATTCTGCACTTTCGCACCTTTTGCACTTAAAACTGTCTGTTTCGTGGAAAGATTTGTGTAATACACAAATTAAATGGCACGTGTACAGATGATCGAAAGCAGCTTGCTATTCCGGCTAAATTAAAGAAC